TACATACTGTGGCGTGACATGAATCAGGTGATTGTTTAATTTATGCACATATCTTGACACAAAGTCAGTAGCCAATCAACGGAGAGTAGGATCAAAACAAAGTTCATAGGTCCTGTCAATCAAGGCAAGAGGCGAGAAGAACTGTTACAGTCAGACTGTAACGAACCGGAACAGGCCGCTGTTTCAAATGACATGGTCAGTTTCCTGCCAGATTCAAACATTAATGAGTTCCTTGAGAACTGGAAGACACAGTTAAAAATGTCAGGGTTAGAAATGAAACCGAAGACATAAAATTTGTGGAACCCAGGCGAGCTAAAAAAGAAATTCCTTCGACTGTAATACAATGTATTAGGATTCCCCGACTTTCCGATGTAATAAAGTAATAAAAGTGGCGTACATTTTCATATTATTGGGAAATAAATTCAATAACATCTTCAGCTAATTAGAAGGCGGGAATTACAATGAACACAACAAAAATTAAATTATATGAGTATGGCCACATTCTCATGGCTATTGTTAAAACAATGGGTTGGTTAAATTTTGGTTTTATTTAAAATTTCGAATTTATATTTCCGATCCACTTCCTAATTTACAATTGCACAAAATGCCCCTCCAAATCATCTAGACCTGGCACATCTTGTCCTGATTTAATAATCACAAACAGCAATGCTTGTCATCAGGATGGGTTGTATCAAAAAGTGCTGAATGTAATAAAATCGGAAACAGAATTTATCATACAATATATTTTTAAAGTTTAGGATCAGGTTGACTTTTAGGGCCGATCAGTGATGTAAAACAAGGATGTCCTCGTGTCTGTTTTTTATAACCACATCATAACATTTGTGTCTGTAGCTATTGTTACAACAGAAATGCCAAGGGCTCTGTTGTGTTTGTGTAGCCTTGTCAGTCCACGTGTCCACGGAAGATGAAAGGTACGTCAAGGAGGCTGATTTCACCGTGTATGTTCTGCTCACAATGCTGTCGTGGCAGTACCTTTGATCCTATAGTGATCTGGCTCTGGCAATTCCTGCCCATACCTTCCAGCTTGATGAAACCTGCTGTGATGTGTCTGTCAGTGGCGGCACAGGTACACCCGGTAGGGATTCTGGGGCAGCTCAGATCCCCACTATCACAGTGTGGGGATTGCAGGTTAGAATTGGTTCCGAGGATTACCTCTGCTAGTTGTAAGAGCTGACTGTTATTGGATCTCTGCCTGTCACTGTACCTTGATGGTGTGGATCGGCTATTCCTGTGTAACAAGGGTGGTCATTAACTGTTTGGTTGAATTACTAGACAAAGCAGTGTGTTATCAACTCGAATCAAACTTGGTCGATCTACTAATTGTCTCTCAGTCCCTCTTCAGCCAAGATTCCTCAGGACCTCATACTCTCTTGAGACCCGTGAAGATACGGGGTAGAATAGGTCTTCAGCAACCCACCCTTGCCGTAAGAAGCGACTAATGGGATCAGGTGGTCAGGCTTGCTGACTTGGTTCATGCATGTCATCATATCCCAATTGTGTGGATTCATGCTCATGATGTCAATCACTGGATTGTCTGGTCCAGACTCGATTATTTACAGACCGCCGTCATATAGCTGGAACATTGCTGAGCGCGGCGTTAAACAACAAACAAACAAACATACTCTGTTGAATTATCCATACTTGGAAGCATGACGAAGATTCTATCAGACACAGCAGAGATACCAACCTGAAAAATTGTTGAATGTGGCAACTGGCAAGATAAAAGGTGACTGATATTTTTATGAAAGAATATGCTGATGATGATTACTTTTCTAGTTTTGAAATTTCTAATTTTAGACCCAAAGTCTCCCATATATTCCAAAATGATTCAAATTGGGGTTGTCATTTCAGTATGAAGACAAATCAGTCAAACAGAGTTAAAGAGGTTCACTGTATTGAAAAAAATGTCAATGAGATTGTTAGGGTTGGAACTTGAGTTGGGTCGGGAATCGAAGCTGCATCATGTCTCATGCTTAATCAAGAGTTGGATTCAGAATTTTGGAATAGGGATAGGGGGTTCATAAATTGATGTGGCCGAGGAAGCAGTTAATTTGTAGGGTGTCTGAAAAAAAAGGGTGTGTCCTCCTCCCCCATACCCCCTCTGGATTGGCCAGTGTAGTCATTTTCTATACCAATTTGAATCCATGCCAGCAAAACTCCCTCCTTGTCAACAGTTGCTGCTGGAAACTGTTGATTTATTTTGTCACCTTACCTCCTGACATCCATTGCACATACCTGTCCCTGTGTGAACTATCTGGCTAATATCACACCTGTCCACAACAGCAATTAGGGATTAATAAACAGGGTGACGCACCAATGGGACTTGTTTCCATGACAACCAGGCGTAAACATCAAGGATCTCAGTGACAGCTGATTTTCTATGAAAGTTTATGTGAGAAAATGGAGTAACTGGTCCCAAGCTGACCCTGACGAACTACATGTTTAATGTAATAATAGATCTGCATTATTACCGATGGGAATAGGGAATGCTTGTTAGATAACCTTATCAGAGAATGACATCTGTGCATTATACAGTGGAATGGGAGATTTGCGGTCTAAGCTTACATTATACAGTGAAACCTGGTTCTGGACAGAATTGTGAAACCTTATTCTGGACAGAACTGTGAAACCTTATTCGGGACAGAATTGTGAAACCTTATTCTGAACAGAACTGTGAAACCTTATTCTGGACAGAACTGTGGAACCTTATTCTGGACATGACTGTTTCTTGCATAATCAGTTAGATTAACTAATTTCAGCATAACTAAATCATTGGTATGTTGTAATATCCTTTCAATTGTATATAACACACTGAACAAAGAAAATGAGGGAACATGAATATTTTTAGAGATATTTTATGAAATTGTATGATCAGTTTTCACTACACAAAATATCCCCATAAAATATTCATGATCCTTTTTGTTCTGTTTTGTATAGTTGTTTCTGAAAATAATCATCAGGAACGCTTTCTGGATCTTGATAAGCTAGGTGTCACTGTATGAAAATATACACTGTGGTCTCACTCAAAGACACATTATGTTTGACCAGCTGCCTGCAGTATCAGTTGCTGTTCATCGCTACCTACAAGGAAGGCCATGCAGCTTCATGCTTCTGTTGACAGACTTCCTTTGGTCTAGTGGATAGAGCGTTTGCCTGGGGAGATCAGGGGTTTGCTCCCTGGATGCCTCTTACCAAATGATGTTAACAGATGAAACTAATGTTACCTTCGGCATAAAGGGGATAAAACACTCTCTCGCACTCATGCACACACACATGCGCGAAAGCTTTGTGAGGCCCTTGCCCTTACAGAGTATTAACTTAACATTTTAATAATAAGATTAAAATATTGTTCCTTTTTGAACTTGATCCATCAAAAGCAACCGTTATCTCAGTATTTCCTATTTTTGGGAACAACTGCATTGTCTATCAATATTTCTGGTATAGCTATGTTGTGCATTATTGATCAGATATATATATACAGTCATTTATTAGAGCAAGTGTCATTAGTATTGGCATATCGACTGTCAGAATCCCTGGAATGTCCACTTGGTCTGAAGATGATGGTTAGCATAACGAGCAAAGGAACTAATGATATAGCCTAATGGCCAGAAGATCTGTTATTATCTTTGACCCATGTCACTAGGAGTTGGCTTGGAATTTCACTGATTATGATCCTTGGTTTGTCTGTACCATTCTCGTGGGTTTTGACTTCATGCTTGATGTTTTCAACCTGTGTTTCCTCCACATTCAGCTGGCAGGCTTCCTCATTCATTTAGGAGATAAACATACTGTGTTTTCAATGTAGAGCTAGGTTACCTGTAGATTTAACCCTGCTAAATTGAATTTGGAACCGAACGCGCAGCGTGAGGTTTCAAATGTTAAATTTAGCGCGGTTAAATCTACAGGTAACCTAGCTCTACATTGAAAACACAGTATGTTTATCTCCATTCTACCATGACTAAATAAAATGCAACTCTTTGGTGTTAGCAAATATACTGAGTTAAGCGGCATGGGTTGAGTTCAGTGTTTTGAGTGGGTTATCGATCTGAATTACGGAATCACCAAACAAAATATGGTGCTGTATATACTCAAGCGGTTTGTTTACACCGTAATACTTCACTCGAACATATGACAGGCATTGAAAGCATATAAGCACGGCAACTTGGTAAGCTAACATGAGGTTGGCACCCCTAAAGAAAACAAAGCAAGCTTTGCAAGGCTTTCGCTTTCGCACGTCACCATTATGATGTCATAATCGCTCATTGTGATGCAAAAGATATGACATCACAGTCGTATATAGAAAAGCGCCAAAATTTCAAGCTCTCTGTTGTCTCCAAAACGTAAATACCTTCCCTTTGTTGATTTCTGTCGTGTTTTTCTGCACGAAATGTATTGCCACACATCCTTTGAATATTGTAGTAACCGCATCTGTGCATTTTGTAACCTGTAATTGTAGATATAATTATTTAAATATGCCTACCGACAATGACTGAAAATAGTACTATTCTATGAATATTAGCTTAGGCGGTGATGCGGCCGTCAAATCAGCTGTTTCAATCAGTGGGGGTTTATTGTGATTAAATAGCCTCTGATTGACCAATCAGAATCGAGTAAATTCCAAATTCATGGTAGAATTACCTTTATCTGTTCCCCACCATTAAACCAGAGGTCACAGGTGGCCCAGTTGTCTGAGGTACTGCAATGAGCTGTGCAGAGTTAAGTCCCTTAGACATGCTAGGATCCAATTATTGCAAGTGAATCCATGATTTGCTCTGATTTTTGTCTTTATTTTTCAGCAACATGTTTTTGGCTCCTGGTTTACATGAAAGATCTGCATCACTTTTCTCCTTCAAAATTGACACATTGCGATATTACTGAAATATTGTTCAAAGCTCACTCACTCACTCACTCACTCCATGTCCGAGCAGATAGTATAAGGAAGCAAATACAGAATTGTAATAGAAATATGTTTGTTTCAGGTGCATAAATGGGTGAATGCAGAGTCCATGTTGGAGAAGTGTTTTGTGGGACGCGTCAAAGTGGAACTACCCACATCAAGGCGAGGTGAGTGGGCATCAACTGTAACTTGAAACAACATCTGTGTGGATGGTCTTGTCAATTCTGTACCATATCCATTCTGGTAAGGTTGTGATGATGTACAGTCAAATACTCTGACCTTAGATATGCATTCAATATGTTTGTAAGTGAGTATGATCGTATGATGCTTGAAAAGATATTTCACCTATGAAATTATGACAGATTTGCTCAATTCTGGGGTCCGTTCCACAAAGGGATCTTAGTGCTTCGACTGTAAGCCAGTGCTTTTTATACAATTGATGGCTTTACGTTTTCTTGTAGGCCATTGAACCTGGGTGTTTGGGTCACATTGTGTAAGCAACCTCCATAATCCTGTCACTGAAGTGTGGACGATGTAAAATCTTCAGTGTACCATGTGAAGATGTGTAGGTGACCACGTTTTAGCATGGTTTAGCATGGTTTAGCATGGTATACCATCGTTATACCATAGTATTCCATGGTAAACCGTGGTGACAATGGTACACTTTTAGCTGGGTTAAGCAAACATCATAACTCCATCACTGTAGAGTGGACAGGAGAAGTGGAGGAGGCGCCAGTAATCCGGGCTTGTCATTAGAGCTGCACTGTATTGCCGGTATACCACAATTTGAAATGCTAATGAATGCGTATCACAATGCAATTGGTAGATATTGGTATATTGCGTTTTTCAAAATCATGCAGAATTTTATCATGTTGGTAAAGGTTACATGAGTGACAAGTCGAAATGAAATAATGAAATTGAGAAATTACCAACTGAATCCTGTGATTGAAGAAGCGAAACTATTCATGACCAGCTTCCTGTACATGATGTGTCTATTACGAAGGCATTGTTACCATAGCAACATCAAACAAAATGGCAAATGACTACAAACTTTTCAAAAATGTGCAGAAGTACGATGTATGGGTCCATTCCAGACCAAATGATTTGAGTTATTTTAATTCAGGTTTCTAACAAATTACAGATGAAAGAATGCTTGCAATATATTGTTTTACATGTCACATCACATGAATCATAATTACAATAAACTGCAATAAGAAAGTCAGGCCAATATCCATGACTATTTATCAAGGACCAATCACCACGCATCATGAGTAATGTTTCCCTTCTCTTGATTAACACGAGTCAATAACAGTTTAAAACTTTAAGGCTTGCCGAAGACTTATAAACGTTTATAGATGACTGTTGATGTATTTGCTGTTAAAAAACCCTGAGTGACACTCTATTCATCGTCCAAACTCATTCTTCTAACTTTTTCAATTTGTAAACAATAGTAACCTGTGCCTTAAGTGTTAAAGTACAGGTAACGAGCTTCAGTTTCAGGGAGACTAATGATGTCATTTCAGTTATGTCAAAAGGTCTACAAAGCATTGTGATGCAATTTCATTGTATTTATTTAGAAATGATAAGGTAAAGTAATCAAAAGAGTTTGTTGAAAGCTCAAGAAGAGGTGAAGTAAACTAGGTCTTGGTTTCCCCCAGCATCCATCAATACTTGGCACAAATCGAAGTTGAAGTAGAAAATGATACGTCATAAGTAGATGTTTGAGATATCGGGTGTGTATTCCTATCTCAATAAAGATGGCAACTTGGATTGTAAATACATGTATTGTGTGGGTCATCAAGGAAGTGTTCCGTGTATTAATGAACAGTTAAGTACATCCCATGCCAGAGACATTTTCTGTCTACGACCCCAAATGTGGATCTTGGCATCATTTTTAGTACATTTTAGTGTTATCATATGGAAATGCATTAGCTGAGCTCATTAGACCAAACAGAATTTTACTAGACTTAGGCTTCGGACTAGTGGCAGATGGAGAGATAGGTGACACAGTGATGTTCGCTATTCATGCCTAAGGTCTGGGTTTGATTCCCATACGAGGGCAATGTGAGAAGCCCATTTCCGGTGTTCCCCACTGTGATAAAAATGTCACTCACTCACTCACTCACTCACTCACTCACTCACTCACTCACTCACTCACTCACTCACTCACTCACTCACTCACTCACTCACTCACTCACTTGTACTAATTTCTTTCTTGCATTCAATAGTCTGTAGAAAATAATTCTAACAGATGCTGTGTAAAGTCTGTGTACAGACACAGTGTCAGAAGTTATCTTGGAGCCCTTGTTAATGGTTTTTGTTTTGAAAATGATGGATTTAGGGGTGTTAGGTTGTTTTTGAAAATCAATGTCTTGCATGGAATAAATAACATTATTCAGCTAAGTGACACTCACTCACTCACTCACTCACTCACTCACTCACTCACTCACTCACTCACTCACTTACTCACTCACTCACTCACACACTCGCTCGCCCATCCACTCACTCAGTAGGGTAGCCTAGTGGTTGAAGTGTACACTCATGACAACGAAGCCATTGGTTTGATTCCTGACTTGGCTACAATCGTCATGATGTTGCTGGAATATTGCGTGACATCAGACAATTATAACCCAACCTCATAAGGATATGTTTGTATTGGTTTGTTTTCTCCAGACATTCATCTTAATGCCACATTTATCCTTGAAGAATAAATAATCTTACAGCCTGTACCACAAACATAGCTGTACTTTCAGGTCGTATTCTCCTTGAAATACATGAGAGTGTAGTAAGGCTCTTCACTTTCTTGACATATGGCCAAGTTTGAGAGCTTGGTGCCATGGTGTTTACTCCTCCTTTCTGAGTGTTTGGAATGCATTGGGATTGAGATATTTATGTAATGACAAGATCACCTGTGATTGACAGGGGTTGGCTATTGCTCAGTCGGTTGTCTCAGGCTTGGGTCAGAAAGTAGGTCAGTCAGCCTTTACAAAATCAAAATGATAGCAAGCTAAATTGAATCATTGACGCAAGTAGTTGAGATCAGTCAGAGCCCATTCCTTCTATAAACCAATACAAGGAAAAATGTGACCAAGAACATGTTTGTAGCATTGGGACTCCTGTATTTTTCAGTGGGGGGTGTTTTTTTGTTACAGTTCAGTTCGTGCTAATAGAAGATGCTGAGGAAAGTTTAATGGGAGTAAATGTTGCTGAATTAACACTGCATTTGCAATCTGCAGCCCTTTATGACAGGTGAAGGGACCAGTTCAAGACTGATGTGGAAATATATACTTATTTTCTTGTGGTTTTATAAGGTTTGAAACATTAGACCTCCATCACCATAACACAGACAATCACTCACTCACTCACTCACTCACTCACTCACTCACTCACTCACTCACTCACTCACTCACTCACTCACTCACTCACTCACTCACGCACGCCTTTATGTTATTATATATATAGTTTGTTGTTGAGCGCCGCACTCAGCAATATCCCAGGTATATGACGGCGGCCTGTAAATAAATGGGTCTGGACTAGACAATCCAGTGACTGATACTGTGAACAACGATCCACGCCGTTCAAGTACCACCCAATCTATTTGGTTGCCTGTTTAGTCTTATGGCCAGTTGCTAGGGACCAATTGTAGCGCTGAAGTTCAATACATAGGGTTATTGTATCATATCTCGGTATACCAATTCTACTCATGCCGTTCATTTCCAGACTATAAATATGAAAATTAGAGACGTTTTTATGGGCCTGAATCGTAAATCCCCTGGAAAGTTAATTTTTCAGATACAAATCATGCATGTAAATTTCCCCCTTCCACCTGAAACTTAAGGAATTAGGATTTTTATTGGACGTCCAACTTTTGAATTGGTCCCTAGAGATCCTTGCTGCTTCAAAGTGTTGGCCGATCTGGAGCAGCATGCCGTTGTTCCCATCCTTGGGGATTATTGATGAAAATATTCCCTTGCACGATCCATTTAACACGTTCCATAACTGATACGCTTTTATTTTGAGACACTGCTTCCAATACACTGCTATTGAGAGCCATGTGGAATCAGGAAATTATCTGTCTTAGACAGTTGATTTTGGCAGACAGACCAATCTCTGGTATAAACTAGCTGGAGTATATCTCCCAGTGCTTCAGTATTGCAGCCATGGAGTTAGGTAGTCAGAATTATTGTTATCCCATTTGTTAGCAAATTGAAGAAAAACTTCATTTTGTTTTCTATCCTGAAGGAAGTGGCGCTGATTGTTTGGAATCAATGTTAACCCTGTGCGGTTGCTAGGGCAGAATAGCCCTCCTAGTCCATGCTTGTCAGGAGAGCCAAAAGGAAGATGTAAAAGGGGTTTGCAGCCTATGACTTCAGCCATTAGTCCAAAGCCTGAGCCCAGTAAACGTTCCATATAATAAGCTCAGAAATATTAGTAAATGTAACACTAAAATTGACTTAAAATGATGCATAGGGCCAAGTTCGGGCTCATGGCTACAAAGGTTTTGGTTGGGTTAAAATGTAGGATCTTGCTGGTTATCTAATGGCTTGGATCATTGCTTGTTCTATTATTTAGATCACTGGTTTGCCTGCTCCAGATTATTTACTGGTTGTTGTGATATGTTTCTGTCATATTCCTGGGGCTGTGGGGTAGCCTAGTGGTTAGGGTGTTCGACTCCCCACATGGGTACACATCTTCCCGAGGCAAGAGAGTTAACTCACTTTAAAAGTCCTGGTAGGTTTCCACCCTTGCCGAACTAGCCTGGTATTATGGAGTTACATTTTGGCTGGACTAACGAGTCTATGCATAGTCCAATCAAAATTGCGCAACGAAATCAAAATCCGTTTCATACACTGTTGTGCATATTTCGGTTGATTGCAGGATTTGCAAAGCATGTGCACTGCCAACACGTTGTCAAAAGATATTTACCATGTTTTTAATCAGTATGCTCACATGATTTGATGCACTTCGCTATGTAAGACCTGTTATATTACAATATAGATCTTTGATTATTGATCAGATCGTCTTGACTGGGCACAGCCAATTTGTTTAAAGCAAATGCAAGTGGTACGAGAGGTGGAATCTCATTGGTCCTTAGGAGAGGTTTAGAAGGGACATAACTTGTAATTACCACTGGTAGCATACGATCGAGCCCATGAATACCAGCCTA